GTTCAAATCCTTTTTAAAATAAAGATTACTGTTAGTGATCAGTCTATGATAAATTATACGGTTTAGAGGATTAATCCTCAATTTAAAATAAAATTAGGAGTTCGGAATGAAAAATCGTCAATATCATAATATCATTGATATTGACGATTTTGATATTATATCAAGTATCGGAGTGAAGCCGTCTTGTTCTCACGCACACATGTATGACGCACACTCATGACGCTCGGCCAACCCGGCACGACGCACGATGCACGATCAGTTTACACGATGTGATTCAGCTCGCCGACTCGCCCGAGCGGCTCGATGCGACCGAGTAGCTCGAGCATTTTGATGTATCGAGTTATCGCCCGGACTCGCCTGGTCTTTTGCCAGCTCGACCCGAACTCGGTTTTTCGGGTACTCGCACATCTCTAGTTCGAATTATGTTTGGGCTGAACACGACTGGACCTGGAGAACGCCCTTAATTAAGTACAGTCGTCTGAAGCAAATGGATTCTTGTTTCTCGAGGTTGAAAAAAGAGGCTAAGATTAATAAAAAAAAACCTGAGGACATACAGTAGAAAGCAAAGATATGCTTTCGCTTCTGGATTGCATGCACATCCACATGGCATGCTTAAAAGAATAAAAAATTTTATCGGCTGAACAATCCTTCGCGTTTGAATTAATTAATTTTCCTAATTCCGTTCGAATATCCAATGTCTCGGATACGACATAACGAAGAAGAAACGTCATCCATTTGAATAAACGCAGTTTTAATCAGCGAATTCTTAGTATTTTCTTACAGTAGGTAGAACGTCTTTCCAATGTTTTCCAGAACAATAGATGTTCTATTATTATAGACCAGGGCTTCTTAAACTATGGGTCGCGACCCCAAATGGGGTCGCGTAGCAAAATTTTGACGACTGTAATGGTAACTCGCAATCATAAATGGGGTCGTGAATGACAAAAGTTTAAGAAGCCCTGTTATAAACGACCAACAACCAATTTTGTATTACTATGAAACATTAATTTTCAGCCTAACGCACTAAACCTTGTATCAGCATTAACCAGCATCAGGCCAGATGAGGTCGTACGAAAAGGTAGCAACATCAGCGACAGAATTTCCTCCAAGCAGCTCGTTGTCAGGTCAGCTGCATCGACGCCACAATTAACTTGATAACGATGACATTATTGGCTCCGGAGTGTGCTTATTACCCGCAAGACTCGGCCATTAAAGCGTGCGAATCTCCGGCCACTATCTCGGTGCCGCGTTACACACACACACGGATACACATTTCCCGAGCCGCTCTTCCCGTTAGTCGTTAGAGGTGCACTCGGCCGCAGATGCGGCACGCACGCCGCGTCTCGACGTCACCCGTAATCCTTTCCCGACACCGGTAATGGCCGGAATCGTGAATTCAATTGCCTCTGAATTGGATGCAGTCGCGAAAGAGCCGGGCCGACGGCTTAAGGCACGTACGAGCGTGAAAGCTCGTACCTACGCCGCTCCGTATGCAGCGGACGGACAAAAGGAGAGGCAGTGATTGCAGCGGAAGAGATATTCCGAGTAGGTACGCGACGAAGCGTTCGCTTCGTTCTTCATCGCACTCGGGGAACGGGGGTGGAAATTCGAGTGCAATTCAGAAATGGCCATGCGCCTCTTGCCAGTGGGAGTTTCGAGGGTTGTCAGGATGAGTTTTAGTGGAACTGTTGATTCAATCAGAGACGTAGAGTACGTTACGTTTGTTATGCTTGGAAAGTACTGAGTATCTACTGTGGTTGCAGGGATGATTGAATGGAATAAACTCTCCACAATTAAATCGTTCTAAAAATATAACTTACTATATGTAAATAAGTACCACTTTTATTTTTAGACTTTGTTAATCGGCATCGACTAATTCTAAGTAATGATAAGTGATGATGCTGGTTCATTAAAGAGTATTTCTTTAAATTGGATAATGTTTACAGAAATTATATTGGAATTGTCAAAGCAAATGATTCATGGCCAGGGATGCAAATTGACAAATAGCTACTACAGAGTGCAATATTTCAAAACGTTTTATCACGACGGGTTCTGTCATGCAGAATGTAGGTAGTGCAATAGCTGGATGTAGGTTACCAATTGACTGCATTGAAGTCCCATTCACGGGACGTCTATAGTGAATAGAGTGATTAGAGTGAATCTAAGAGCCTCGCCACCCACTTAAGTTAGCGTCTGTAAGATCAGTCACGCAATTCTTCCATTTAACCCCCTAAAGAAAATATTCCATCTCCCTTTAATCGCTCTTATCCCTCGTAAACGTTAAAATAAATCTATGTGCATACACATTCAATGGCAACGTTCGAAGTCTAGCGGAGTCCAGGTTGTAAGACGGTTCTGTCTATTTAGTTCACAATGTACGAGTCAACTTACGCAATTTCCATCAATCACTGAAGACTTACGAGCGTTCGAATGTCGTATTGCTTCAATCTGACTGAGCCGATCGATATGCAAGTACTCGCATGCCCGACGTTACTAAAGGGAAAGAGCGAAGGGGAAGAAGAGATCGTGCAGCATTAAACGTTATCAACCGCGCGTTTTGTTTCAATCGAGGTTGGAGATAAATTAAAAAAGATAACGTGATATAACGTGGGCACGTAGCTGTAAGCTGACACCGTGGGCTCGTCGTTCTCTCAGACCGTGAGACGGCCGTACCGCCCACTGCGAGACAAAAACGACGAATGGTTCTTCATTTGATGAAACAAGTAGAACAAAACTGGTTTCGCGGAGAATCCCATGTCACGAGCCGCGTTTCGTTTATTTAATAAGGGACGCTGATTCGCCTATTCACGCTTCGATCATTTCTTACCGAGTCATTACACGAAGAATGAACATTCTATACCATCACTTATAGAAGCTTAATATGTAATTACAAACTTTCTTGTTGTCGAGGAATTTCTAATTAAGCAACGGTTCAGGTTGTTTGCCGAGTGACCGGTTCTGTGGCTATTTTTTTTTTTTTCGGACATACCGTAATTTAAATTTTTATCGGTATTACTTAAGAAATTAATGAACCATTGGCTTCGATAGGAACGCGATTGGACACGCATCGAAACACGTTATGGCCGAGCTACGGGAAGTGTCAAATATCGACGATTTGATAATTGGACAGAAACGAATAAAGATGATGATGAGTTGTAATTGAGAGGAAATGAATATGCACAATGGTCGTCAAAAAAATATAACATGCATATTCAAATATTCATCTCCTGTTCGAAATAAAAGTAGAAAGTCACGATGAATAGTAAGATACTTTACGAAATATTTCTCTTTTAGAGATCGACTTCAAAAAGACGTGCAAAACTTAAATTCAAGTGAGCATTCTGCGTGTCGTATCAAAGTTTCTAAAAGATTTATGACATTAATGTAACATGAAAAGTAGAAGTGTTGAGCGTCACTGACTTCTCATGTCCACAGTCGAAGGATCTGCAGAGATGCCAGAGGGATGTCACTGAGCGAGCTATCCTCCCGTCTTTCAGCCACTCCCATTCCCAGCTACCGGGTTACTACCACTCCGTCAATCTCGTCTCGACAGTTGCGTTCAAACAAGGATATACACACCCGCCAATGAATAACCCGCAAGTCGTTGTTCACCCTGTCACTGAAAAGGAAAAGTTGCATCGTTTGTATCCCATGACATGGCAAACCGCGATCAGCTTCGAGTTACTCGAATTGAGTATTAGTTTTGCGAACCGATTGTATCTTTCAATACAATTTCCTGTACAGTCAAAATAAATCTCAATTATGAACTATAAATTATAATCTGAATTAAATATTCCCTTATCGTTTAATGCCGCGTTAATCAAAGCTGAGAAAGTGACGTTTAATTAACGATTAGGCAACATCGGTCGCCAATTAAACGCACAAAATATTCTATTTTCGCTACCCTTGCACGAAACTTTTTATCAACAATTGTGACCTATATGTCTGTAAACAGCCCCTTTAAATCATCCCTTCGCGTCGATACGCTTCAATTAATATGTAACCCATAAAAACACGGCGAAACGGAGTTAAAAAAACACGGCGAAACGGAGTTAAAAAAACACGAAGAGACTCTGTTATTTTCCGCGGCAGAACAGGAGAACTTCACTGAAGGATCGGTATGATTCAATCATCCGCGAGAAGGCCGTCCCCAGCTAGACTGTCTCATTTGAATAAGACAAATGAAGACATCCGGGAGACACACAAGCGAGAACGATGAAGTTGATAGGAGAGATTGGTCCTGGGATCACCTACAGGGCGCGCGAGAGACATCGAATCGCACCGATTGATTACGATCGTTACGAAGACAATGGCGGACACGAACTAACTTTAACGACGACGGGTCTAACTTAGGAAACGAGGATTACCTACCTGGCTCGAATACAGCGAACTGCTTCGGCGTAGTCGTGGCTAACAAGCACCGTTGCATTGAGTTTTGTCCGTTGAAAACTGATCCCCTGGCTACTGCCCACGTCTCTCGAGCGCACCTTTCATTATTTCACGGGGTACCGCATGCGCGATTTAAACGCGCTGCGTTTTATCATGCAAATCGTACTACGATCGAACAGAGGGATTACCAATTTTCAGGAAATTCTAACCGAAGTCACGCGAGAACATCTTATTCTTAATCCCATCTTCATTTACAAACGGTTACATTAAGTAGTTGAGTTCAATTTGATTAAACGGCGTTGCAAGAGCAGGGAAAATCGTGGTTGCAGGCGACTGTCCAGTTAAATTGGTTATAGGATGATGTGTTAACGGGCTAGAAAGTGGCTGCAGGTGTTGCCGACTTTCGTGACTGAGCACGCTTATGGGAAGTGTTCGGTTTTCGCGTGCGGAGCGGATAACTGCAAAAAGGCAACGCTTCCTCGAGAGGGCTGCGAAAATATCTGTAATCGAGAAGACTCCGGCGGCTGCTTAAAACTACTAGTGGAGAACAGCTTCCTGAAAACGATCGCGAATTGTTACCGAGTTACCGTTTCCTGTGAACTTTCTATCGAAACGAGACTGAATCCAGAATACTGTCGTATGTATATTATTTCGATAATTCTATTCCGGAGAAACGAACGCTGCTATTGCACGAAGAACGAAACACCGTTTCAGTTATCTTCATCATTCCACCTACCTTTTGAATAAAATTTTCATACGAAATGATAATGTTCGAGTTTCAAAGGAGAAAATATATTTTGCATAAAATTCTACGAAAGCATCCAGATAATTTCTTTTCAATAATCAAAGTATAAATACTGTGACTGTTTCCAATCAACTAATTGGATTTGCATTATCCATTCAACCACGAGATACAATCAGAGATGTACAAGAACGACGAGGGGGTGAAGATTTGTCTTGATTAGAGGGAAGTAGATTCGATACGTTTCAGACGTTTCACTGAATGAATCGCGTTACCAATTGTTAACGTTCATAAAACCGTAACGCGGCCGTATCCACCCCCTTGCGGCGCGAAAGGGGTTGAAAGTAGAGGGTGGTGGCGGATGTAACGCGCGTTCTGCGCAACTCCGACGCTTTATCCCTGTCCCTCGCCATCTGCTGGAAGCTGGACGAGTGAGGAGATGTATTGAACAGGCTGAATGCGCGTGCAGAGATGCGCGAGTATCCGCGAATTCCCGGCAGCACGGGGCCGCAGTCCGCACAATAAAGAAAAAAATTGCCACGGAGTTAGGGGAACAGAGAAGCGGCGCGCGCGGAGACGGAGAGAGAGACACACGCCATCCTAATCCTCCTGGACGCCGAAGAGGCAGACTCGATTAATAGTCACGGTCGCGAGAGAAACGACGTCGTCCTCGCGCCGCGTTCCGCCTCGGGACGAGACTGCTGCTCTAAGCGGAGCTTCCGGAACGGAGGACCGTTCAATGGACCACTGCCGCGTCTGGTGATTACCTACTATAGAAACGTTTTTGCGATTCGTGCCAGTATCCCGGTACCAATCGTTTGGCCAACGTCGTCCGCGTTGCTCCTACGAACGTCGAGCGGTGCGTCGCGTCGTGACGTGAAACGTGTGCGTGCGTTCGAATTGACAAGTTGCGAGACCGCGCGAAACAAACATGAGACCCGGCGCGTTTCTTCTGTTGCACATTCTGCTGTTATGCATCTTTTTCTTCGCGTCCGAGGCTAGGCTCGGTCAACAAGTCGCCGCCGATGACGACGACGATGACGACGACGATTGGGACGAAGACGACGACGAAGACGACGACGTTGACGATCAGACTTATCAAATGAAACCGGAGATAGATGACGACGGACGGATTTATAAGAACCCGCGTAACTCGCCGTCGGCGATGTGCCCGCGGGACGAGGCACAAGCGTTACTCATCGGGCAGAAGTGTCTGCGGAAATGTTCCACGGATGAGGATTGCAAGAGCAAGAAGAAGAAATGTAGATGCGACGGTATCTGCGGGATGTCTTGCATCAAGCCTGAGAGGGAATGCCCGACGCTCCCCACAATACAGCACGGCGTGATGACTGTGACCGGAAGATACTTCGGTGATCGGGCACGTTACACCTGCGATCCCGATTACTTCACCGTCGGTCTGACCGAGCGAACATGCAGAGCCGACGGCAACTGGTCCGGCACGTCACCGTCCTGCAAGAAGGATCCGACTTCCTTCTGTTCACAGCCGCCGAAAGTGAAAAACGCGCGGCACAACGCACTCGTCGAGCAAACGACCTTCGACCTGGACAGTGACGTCCAGTACTTCTGTGATTACGGTTACACGACCTCCGGCATCAAGAAGGCGAGGTGCTTGTTGATGAATAAACTTGCCAGCTGGTTTGGTCCTGATATTACCTGCGAACCGCAGGACTGCGGTGCTCCCGCGGATATCGCAAACGGCTGGCATGCTGGTGCGTAATTAATTCGTAAAAATACGCGTACAGTTCGTTAACATAGCAATCATTACAACTTGTGCTTTTCATTTTATTTTATTTACAATCTGTATATTTCTGATCTACCTGAATCTACCATCAGGCAAATCTATAGGAACCAAATTTTTCTTAAATATTATTAATTTGCTTAAAATATAAATTCACTTATTCCTCCACCATATCATATTCTTACTTATGTTAGATATATTCAAACCACTTTATTTATTTATCTTGTTTTACATAATTGGAAAATAGAGCTACGCTAGTTTCATTGTGCTTCATTCATGCAATGTTTCATGCAATCGTGTTTACTTCATGAAACTTTTAATGCAATCACTAAGGTACTAAGATAGAACGGCAATTTTCTTTGTTCTAGGCGAATGTTACACGTACAATTGCCGCGTGTCGTATCACTGTGCGGACGGTTACGAGCTAGTTGGGAAAGCGGAGAAGTTGTGCTTGGCAAATGGCACATGGATTCCTAAAGAATCGCCACAATGTGTCCAAGTAAGCGTAACCATATGTAACGACACGTAAACCCACGCTTAACGACACATAAACGTTTCATTGTCTTCCAGACCCTTTTTCTTTATATCCCTTCTCTTATGTACACATACAGAACATTGCATGTCATAAAACCTAACAAGTTATTTCCCTTGAAACCGAAAAACCAGTAGCAATATTTGCGTCACTGAAGGGGACAGCAAAACTAAACATATATATAAAAATATAATAACAAATTTTCAAAATCGTTTTTGACGACTAGCAAAACGAAGACTTTTTATGGAACTCTATAGTTCTTTCGAATTCTCATGAAAGCATGAAACCGTTGCTCTATTCTAAATAATTAATTAATTACGGTTTTCATTCAAGTTGGAACAATTCGATTGTCGATATCTGCATTAATATGATAGAAAATAAGTTTATTATATAATACTTTAAATTTCACTAAATTGATAAAACAATGTACTGGGGATAAGCACTATGTATTTATACATATATGCATGTTAATCATTGTATTTATATGTATAATATTGATTTGTGTTAATCAGTGTATGTCATTCTGTTGAAGCATGTATGTAGATGCAAATGGCACTGCTCGTATAATATAATCGTTAGCGATTGAACGCAAACTCATGTTGCAATCATTCAATGAGGACTGACGCAGTTCATACAGGCACATCCTGTCATAATAACTATCAACCACAACTCGTACAAAGTCATTATCGGATGATGGGAAATTTATGCTTTGCCTATGTTTTATCTCTGTACCATTATTTATATTATTATATTAAGAAAAGTATTTATTATTCATATTAATAATTATAATATATTTTAATAATAAAATTTTCAAATAGAACATTTTGCAGTAAAATTGTGTTATATTACATAAATGTCATTCTTGCCATATGAAATTTCAAACATTCAGTTTCATTCGCGTCTCACATATTAAACATAATACTGGGAGCATACAAAAATAGTAGTTAACGTTAGAAAATCGTTTATTTTTTCTAAAATACGTATTCATAAAATATTGTACGTTATATGCATGAGTTCTCATATTTTAAATAGATGAATGTATGTGTATTTTACTAACAATAAGTAGAAACATTTCTTTAAAAATGTATTGTAGATCTAAGTTTCTAAATGAGTTGATCGTTGAATCATTGTTCTTTAATTAGCTTACAACAGTGGAATGCCCGAAACCAGAGAATCCAGTGAACGGTACGGCCGTATACACTTCGTACGCGTACAATTCCATCGTCTCGTACGAGTGCAGGTACGGGTACACGGTGGTCGGCGCGGCGACTAGACGTTGCGGCGCTGATAGAAAATGGACAGGGAAGGCACCTATCTGCCAAGAGATTGACTGCGGTTCACCCGGCGTTCTGTACAACGGCTGGATCGAGAACATCGAGCGTGGTGAGTGCGGCAATGAATTTCTGACAAAAATAGATAAAATGAAAAGTCCAGAACAAACGTGACTCACGTCCAAAACACGAAGTTTTCGAATACACAATTTGATGATTTAACCTTCCGTCTGTATATTGGGTCGAAAACGACCCAGGCTATTTTTCATGCTCCTCATATTTTTGTCTGAATTTCATTTTGTTTGGAAAAAATAGGATAACGACCTTAAAAGAGTACACAGAAAACTGGAACATATGAAAATTAATTTCATTTCGATATGATTTGACAGACAGACATGAGTTAATCGAAGAAAGTAGTTGTAGTATAGTTTAAAGTAACGTTTATGGCAATATTTGTTAATTTAGTAGATTAGTAGAATAGATTAGAATTAAGGGGGAAATTATTTTATATAATACTGATTGAAAAATGTAACACATTGCCATATCAGTATTGTCATATAAAATTTTTCGATCGTTCTGTATAAACGGAATGTTACATACATGTTTTGCTCCTACTGAAATCCATATATTCCGATCTAAATTTGAGCAGGAACGGGGCTGGGGACGAGCATAATATTTCGATGCAACGATCACATGAAGCTCGAGGGTAACACGTCGTCGGTCTGTCAGATCGACGGTAAGTGGCGTTACCCTTTGCCGCAATGTCTCGCGCCGTGCGTAGTGCCCCAGATAGAGAACGGCAACATCACGGTAGCTAGTCACGACCGGGATCACATTAACAACGTGACCGTGGTTGAGCACGGCGAACGATTGCTGGTTTACTGCGAGGAGAACTATGAGTTCGCTGCGAACAGCACGCCGGTGACTTGTAACAATGGCACGTGGTCCATAGTGCCGAGTTGTTCGCCAGCTAGATGCAAAGTGCTACCCAAGCCCCCGAGGGACGGTATGGTGATCGCACCCAAGACCGATCACGGCATGAAGGCGATATTCAAGTGTAAGGACGGGTTCGAGTTGGTCGGTGGTGGGCCGTTGAACGCGTCAAAGTCCGTCGAGTGCCAATACGGAAATTGGATCGGCGACATTCCGCATTGCGTTCAAGTCTACTGTCCGTTCCCCGGTTTCCTCGAGAACGGGAAGGTCTTTCTGATAGGAAACATGGGAGTCTACGATTACAGACCCTACGTGAAGAAGGTTGTGAATAACAAGCAGATCATGTACGACTGCGATAAAGGATACGTGCTGGACGAAGGTCCGACCGGTGCAACCTGCATCAGAGGAAACTGGAGTCCTAAGGAGCTGCCGAAGTGTATCCCTGGACAACATCCTAGGCTCAGATGGAGCAGGCGGCGGAGATCTGTGAATGAAGAGGATATTACGATGAATTATAGGTAAGTCGTTTTCTATTCACAATACTTTCCTTTTTACTCACGAATCGAGCTCGATCGAATGTAGCTCGATTTTTCTAAAATTTAGTAAATCTCACATAGTCATTTTAATTCAACAATTAATTTATAAATTTAAACTTACAATGAAACCAAATATTAGAATTCAACTTCTATTGACATTTCATCCTTAATAATGTATCCATAATCAGAATTCCATTTTTACTTCAAGATAAAAAATATGAATATAATTTAATTGAAAAAATCATAGGTTTTCCGAAAGAATTATCTTTATTGCGACCTTTTTAAGCATTTCTACACATCATATCAAGAGAGGGCGGATCAATTCTTTTTACAGAAAATTCATTGAGTTCTTCCGCAAAATCGGCAAGAAGTTACTCCACCTGGAGATGAACAAGGTTAAGGAGCATTCGAAGCATAAACTCGAGGCGAAGAATTCCAATTCCAGTCACCACAATGGCACAGAGGCTCTGACGTGGAAGAAGCATATGGGACATGGGAACAGATCCCGACTTCGCGAGGAGAAGATCCTTAAAATCGTGTATCGAAAGCTACAGCGCATGGAAGCCAGGCATTCGAGCAACTCCACCAATGGCAGCATGCACGATCTCCTTAACGCCATGAGTAAAAACTTCTTCCACGTGGACCTGTCCGAATCGCGGAAGAACAACTCAAGTCGAGGTCGTACAGACTTCGAGATTCGGAACCAACGTGAGTTCATCAAGCTGAAGCGTGAGTTCGAAAGGATCATGCGATTCTACAACAAATCGATGCGCTGGAACGAGAAACAGAACCGCAAGGACTCGAAGAAGAAAGGGCAGTCGCACGGCGATAAGGGGAAAAAGTCGAAGGACAAGAAGAAGCACCGCAAGAATTATTATAAAGGATTCTACGAGTTCGTGAACAGTTACGTGACCGAGAAACTGTCGATGTTGGAAGCTCGAAACGCCACTGAAGAACTGATGAAGAATATGAAGATCGATAAGTTCACCGTGCGAAACGGGACCACGTTCACCGTAGCCGAGATGTACGCGTTCTTCAAACATATCATAGAGGCTAAACTGAATAGTACTGAACAGGAGGCGACAGAGACTTCGTCGATCGCTTCCCCTACTTTTGCACCGAGCGTAACCACTGTCGTCATTGGTAACGATAGTAGCACGGTGATGACATCATTATCGAGCACGTCGACGACGAGCAGTACGACGACCACGACGACCACGACGGCGCCCAAGAAGATCGAGTTGCACGGGAATCTATCCTCGACGGTGGCCAGTAACGAACCGTCGATGCTGGACAACGAGATCCCAGCCAAAGACAGCGTGCCGAAACATCGCAGTAAGCGAATACGGAACGCGTCCGAGGACAACGGCGGTCCATCGAGGCAGAAAAGGAGACTGCTGTCTATAAAGGGAACACAAGTGGCGGCATTTACCAACATGAAGATCCCCGAGGTGCCGCCGACGCCTTCCTCGTCGCGGCACAACAAGAAGCAGAAAAACTCGAGGGGGACCAGGGCCTACGACGACGAGAAGGCTAGGATGTACACTCTCAAAGAGCTGGAGGCCCAGCAGCAGAGTCGCTCGAAACGATTCCTGTCACCGTCCGAGCTGGATAATCAAATATTTCTAAAAAACTTGTATCTGCATGCGTACGAGGACGAATATCGGTCGAACGTGAAACGATCGATCGTTCAGGAGAATCAGACGAACGATCAAGAGCAACCGGCCGTCTACAGAAGGCGTAAGGGCAACCTCGACGCCTACGAAATCAAGTGAACGATACGAACGGGATTTAATTGTGTTGTGATAACTGTCGACGGGAATTATACTGAAATCATTAATACGGAAATATCAATCGATTTTAGGCGAATATACACCATTATACGATAGGATTATTAATCGTTGTCCTTCGTCGATGCGCATTGTAAGACGTGTATCGCGCTTTTTTCAATGAATCAAATCTTTTTCCATTTGCGAATCTTGGTAAGAGAAAGTAAGAACCGGGATAATCAATCGTCGGATTGTTATGACATTTAATCGTCGTCGCGGTGTGAGCTGATAGAAGTGTTAGAAATTTGTTCCACTTATCTTCGTGCATTCGTTTCTCGTTGTGATAGTTGATGGTTACTTGGGAAGTGAATGATTACTCGATGTTTTACCCAGAAACGTGGGAGGAGTTATATACGTAGTGCGTAGCTAACCCCGGTGCAGTTGAAATCGTCGATCAGCTGGGAGAGTTGAAAATTTATCACAGGGTCATCGATTGACGTTTAAGACTGATCAACTTCGAATTTTTAATATGACTTATAGGCTTCCTTGACTTTTTCCTGTCTAATAGGAGAATTACGGGAGTTGAATGTTTAACAAGATGTTAATTGAAAACGTTTGATGAAATTTCATTGCTTTCATTGGTCTGTGATACTTCGTAAAAGCACTTGTTTCATAGCATAAGACGTATAGTGATAATTAATGGAGCAAGAATAAAAAATCAAAATGGGGTACGGTTCGACTGCAAGGGGTGTCAGGTTTTAGATGATAGCGATCGCTGCACGTAGGAAGATAATAATTGCCATCGTGCGACAGCGCGTTTTAGTTTTTCGCCGTAGCCAGCTCGCATCGCATAAAAGTATTTTAAGCTCTTCGAGAAATCGTATTAGTAGAGGATACGTTAACGTATTTTAAGTGTGTCGTGGGAAACGCAACCAAAACGCAGAACATAAAAATGAAAAAAAAAAAAAACGTTATAAATATATATTGAAAATAATGAAAAACGAACACGTTCGGAACTTGTTCGATCAAACGATCTTCCGTTAAATGAATCGGTTAAGTTTTCTCGAACCGCGAGGCTGTGTTTGTTAAACTGTCGTATCGATTAAAGGAGTATGTATCTAGGTTTTTTAACTGTTATTATCGAAAAGAACCCATTGCAACGTTGTATATACTATACATTCACGTTGATTTCGCGTCTCCCCTCGGTTTGATATGTCAAAACGATAAAAGGATGCATTACACATATTATATATACACAGTCGTATCAATACTCCCGTCCTCGTCTCTACGTAATTAATTTTTACTTGCGAACGTACACACACACACGCGAAACATTTGTATCGATCGGACTGATCGGCACTTACGCCACGAACACGTTGATAATCAAATCACACACACACACACACACGAACCATACAAACATGTACGCACGGATACTCGTGCATTTTTATGAACGACAAGCCATTGGTCAAGTATCATTAGTGAATAATAAGTATTATGATACGAACAGTAACTAGGAATGTGTACATTATTACTTACATATATCCCATTTGTTAATTCATTCGCGTCTCATGAAATTATACATATAAAAACTTCTTCTCTTTATATGCAGAAAGACTTCAATACATAGAGAGAATGATCTCAGTTCTGAAATTCTGTGGTGGAAAAAAATCCAACAATTTTACCCAACCTTCCTCTGTTTTATTTTTATCAAACCCGAGCTACATTCAAATGCCTATCATCAATCACTTAGTATTTAATACCTGCAAAATTTACAAGCTGCTGAACCGCTATTCCTCTTGAAAAATATCACGGATAAAAGTCGTCCAATTAAGTCGGCAAATCAGCCACACAAATGATGCTCACGATCGAAGATTTCTTCTGCCAGCAATCATCGAATCACTCGTTCCTTCCATATATTAATTTCAGCGAACAATTTCGATGGATATCAGCGTCAGCGTTGCGCGAAGCATCAGGAAGCAGATAACCGATTTTCGATAGGGAGGGTCTGTGCACGCTCCTCTGAGCGCCGTGCCGCGCGTATTCGATACATCTCGGGGATCGATAGCGTTCCACAGTACCGGGAGCACCGCGATCACTGATTATGCCGTAACATCGCAGGTAATTAAGTCCGAAAATAAGTGGAGCCAGTCGAAAAAAGGAACGAAAGGAAAATTTGGGAAGGGAGGGCGCGTAATTCGCACCGATCACGTCCGTCCTGGTCCTCGATTGCTCCACCTGTCAATAATCGAACAGTGTCATTAATTACGGGCCAATTATAATTCGGTGAGCGGCGACTGAACCGTGTCCGCGATGTTATCTGTCGGCCCTCGACGCTCGTTAACACATCCGTCGCCGCTTCGGGGAATCGTGTTAAATCGATTAATCCCTGACCGACACGCACATTCGTTATGATAAGACCAACGCGCCACGTATACGTGTGCGTATATTGTACCGAAGTAGAGATACGCATTCGCGATAAAAAAAATTGCCGCGGAAATAAAAGTGCGCGACTAAGAGTAAGAGTGTGATGATTGCTAACTCGTAATTGGAGTGAATCTCCAAGATGCGAGTCGCCTGTTTTTTGCACTCGCAAAAAATTACCGGTACGCGGTGTTTAGGATAATCAGGCGTGTCTACAGTTAAGATCGATTATACCTCGTTCCGACTTCCTTGCCCGCCAATGATTTTAGATTGTACGATAGCAATGATACATATCGCGATATTGATTCTAAAGGTTAGAGGAAAATTATCTTTAATTTATTAGTTGTAGATACATATCTGAAATATGAAAAGTTGGTAGATTTTTTATTACTGTTTGTTATCTTTTATCTTTCGATGATCGTGCAAAGCTTTTTTAATAACTCTTCATTGATTGATAGGAATATGGGTGATTATAAAATATAGATTCCTTCGAAATGATTAACTTACTGTTCCTTATTAATTCTTTTATTTTTATTTCCTAATTCTAACTGATTAGACATGAACATTATTCGTGATAATAGCAATTGTGCTAAAATATTATTTTAACTCGGCAATCTTGAGATCATTTTTATGTCCCGGTGTGACACTGAATCAAAGTTGCACAACGACTGAAGGGACAGTTACATCACGACCAGACCCATTTTAATGCATATTAACATCTTTATTTCTCTTGCAATGCACATCAACCAAGCGAGTGTACCGAACATCTCACATTTTATGGCTGCGCATTATCCATATCTGAGAAGATAACCATGCAAAAATCTTATACAACTTTCACCGTGATGCGTAACGCTCCTCTTGTTAAAATCGCCTGTAGGTATTAATACTCTCTGAAGAGTATGGAATTAATTTACTTTGCATCTACCAGTCCAGCCTCCCTTCTTTCTTAATTCATCGTGCGCCAAAAGGAGACAAAAATAGACGCGATCTCGTCCGAAGGTCGCAGGTTACACAAGCGCGTTGTGACAATATTCCATGTGCACACGGGAGCTTCAAAACTAGCTGCGAAATCGATAAGCGTGTGGCCGTGGCGACGTGAAGCTTAAACACGGGAGAGCGTACGCGATTGGCACGCCTGCGCTTAACGAGGAAACCGTACGTGGAAGAAAAATGTTCGGAAGAAAAATGTTGAAGAAGAAACACGTGCCATTAACTCGTTTAGCGAGAAACACGCTCGGTCATTATTCCAGTTCATACGACGATGATTACGCGGTCAGTTGGTACGGGTGCTAAACGCGCTAAGCGGAGAGAAGCCGACGATAAATGGTCGCTGCTGCCTCGACTTTGTTCTCCATTAGAGCCCTCCGTCGTCGAGAGTCTTCCGTGGAAACAGAACACGATCGTTTTGAAAAGTAGTGCTAACGATGAACAAACGAAAGTCAGACGTGAAACAACCAGAGTTCGAGTTGTTTCATAGTTTGCCTCTAATGCAGTTCGTTTACATACGTTTGAACGAATTTAATTATCCTTTTCAAATTAGAATACTAAACGAATGAAATGTTTAGAATAGAGCATTTAGATGAAGAAGAGAGAACACATTCTCCCTACAAATTTATTTTATTGAAACATTTGCATACGCAAAAATTTGCAGGCGCGTAAAAAGATTTACACAGAATTGAATGTAAAACGCATGAAACCGAGAATTCCACAGAAATCTTGACAAACGATTCTTGCGGTACGTCTCCTGAGACTCAGCCTATACACCATTCAAACCACTCCGTAAAATTTAGTTAGTCTCGCCTCGTACTAATTCCACAAGAAGCACTCGTATCACCTGCCATCGAGAATCCACTTGAGACGTCGGTGAGCGGATCGATCGTTGAGAAAAGGGTGTGCTACCGTAAGCGAGTGCCGACCGTTTGACGAATCCTCGCCGAGCCCTCGAGAACGATTCTAAACGCGACAATACGAGAGAGGCCGAGGACTGTAGTCGAAGAGGTGGCCAGTGATAATCTCATTGAGAGCAGAGAGTTAAGCGGGCACGGGCTTCCTGCCAATTGAACCGGCCAAGTGTCGCCTCCGGGTACTCAATGCTGCCACGAAATTGCTCGGTAGCTTCGCTCAATGAAACCTGGCTAGGCGTCGCCGAAGGATTTGCCTAGATAACTACGGAGCAGCGTGACCATTGTATTTTTCCAGCAAGAGTTCATGAATGGATAGCGGAATGGCCAGTGGGACCACCGATGAATCGGAAACGCGAGCCAAAGGGTTCTAGGCGGTGAACAATCGACTCGCCTGAATTGCTCCGCGAGCAAGTTTCTCGGAACTCGGTATTCTTGTGAAACCGGTAGTCGTCTCTTCGTAACTGGACGTGACTTCTAGAATGGCCGTTTTACGAATGAAAGACGTAGCAAAAATGACAGATTCCTTTGGTACAACTGTGGAATATGAGCGCCGACTTCTTCATTTCTTAATTGTCTGATCTGCCACATTTAAATGAGATGAGAATTCTTCTATCTACTAATTATTTTATTATTATATTGACGACACCTTTGTATTCAATTTAACAAATCTTGTTTTAATTTTAATCTCAGTCGTTCAACAGAATAAAAGGAAGTTCACAAATTTTAGACGTTTATTTGTCAATAATTCCCAACAACCTTTTGAATCGCGTCAAATACTCGGTAATTGGTAAACTAAGCTGTTTAAGCCAATTAATAATAAGGGTTTCAACTTTGAAACTTTCTCAGTAGCTATTCGAATGCTTTTAAAGAAGCTCGCTTATAGAAAGCCGCAAGCCTATCATTCCCAGGCTTGATTCAGCTTGGAAGCTATTTAACGAACGATACGACTCTTTTCGCACCTAGTTCTCCGGCTTTCCGTTCAATGCTCTCCGGAGGCCACAATAAAACGTTTTACCCCATAAAGGGAAGCCCAGCCTTGCGATCCGAGTTACGCGGGGTCCCATTAAACTCTCTCTTCCCCTTTAACGCCTTCTGCTGCCTTTCTACTTTTATCGTTCTGCCGGTCATCCGTGTTACACGTTTCAGCGAGCATCGTTTACACGCGCCAACAAATTAGCCAGCTGCTGTTCAGCAAAGCCCGAGATTATGACACGGTCTCTCGTCACACAGCCTTGATAGCCGAGCAAAATCCTTGCACCGAGACATCTGGCCTATCCACGAGAAGAATGACAGGATTTTCGTCGAGGACTTGGAACCATAGGTGGTCCTCCTTCGATATAATTGTTTCTCGATCTTGCTTCAGACTACATAAAAACTACTAGTTAATTCTCGTATTCTTATTTCTTCAATGAAGAGACGAATTTTTGACAATTTATCTGTAGATTATATTAAGAAAATTTAATTATTTTACGAAAATAGTTTCACGTTGTCGTATATTTAAATTTAAATCTATAATCTGTATATCTAATTTATATGTTGTAACATATGCACATTTAATAATCGTATACTTGGCTTGATAAAGGCATATTAATATGTAAATTAACCGGTTCTGTATTTTTCAACGCACGGCCTAGCGACCATTGAATTCATTTAGTCTGCACATTCAGAGAAAATGGAATCATTGGGTGCCCGTGTCATGCAGTACCTTTTTCACTAATCAGAGGGAATCGAGCCCTATCTCAACAGGCTCCTTTGTCCCGGATCTCGCGGATTTCTGGGAAACTGGAAGCTTGGATGGAAGAGAGTGGGTCGTGAATTTCGCGCCTAATGACCGCCTGCTGCGAACACTTTTTGCTTGCCGACCTTCTCTCTCTCCTCCTGCCCCCCCGTGTTTTCTGCGTCCCTGCGACGAGACGGTCTTAAGTAGCCGACTGGCTGATCAAGCGCGCGTGCTGAGCTATGAGCCCGAAGAACGAGTCCTGTAATTAGCAGAGCCGGATAGAAACGCCGTCACTTTTAGCTTAATAATGAAGCAAGAAAGCGAGAGGGATTCCTCATATGCATAGGGAATCGATAAAATCGACTGCGTTATGCACGCGATGAAATTTTTCAGTCCGCTACCGCTTAGCCCGATTAGAAACGACAACATGAAATGGCGAGTTTAAGTGGCCAGCCACAGAAATTGAAACGTCCATTTTTATTGATCTCGTGTGCGACGGAGTATAGTACATAATTATATTGTATTAAATAATGCGTGTTTCTCTTGACGACGTCTTT